AGGTTGTTGTGAGGAAAATAGGAGGAGAAAGGACTATTGGGTATGTTCGTCACCTTGAGTTACTCATAAAATAATAAAGACAGGATAAAGATCTAATAAATAAATAGTAAGTAATATGTTACATTTATATGCTGCCCAACTCCTAGTGACTCCCAGTTTAGGCATACGAACCAAATGTACACATAGGGATACCCATAAACTGCCATTAAATTCAGATGAAGTGTTGCTTGTTGCAAAGAGTTCACACAATAAACAAAAACTGAGAATCCTCAACAAAAGAATTAAATGGATATTTGTATAGAGAAAATGCTTATAGTGCAGGGCCCAGCTTTGCCCTTCTTAATATACTGCCCATTAAAAAAAAAGCCCTCTAACAGCAAACTTATGATTATTCATTCATTTATTCCTTTTGTATCATGCTGGGATCTAAGTTTATAAGTTATGAAAAACATTAAAGCACCCACAGTAAATATTAAAAGTCAGAGTAAAAACAATTAAAAACACATTAAAAATTGTAAATGGGCAGAAATAAGATAAATAAAAGATACGAAGATAACCCAAACTAACTAGTTGGAACACTTTGGGAGTTGTTCTCTGCATCCTCCAAAATGACATCAGGGAAAGGGCCAGTCTGATCTCGATTAAAAGATAATTCGAGATGGCCACTGCTGACCTGGATTCCTTTTCCTTCCTAATTAGGTCAACTGGAATAGTATGTTTATCTGAATGAGGGTTTCAAAGTCCATGCAATATTAAATTGCTCTCCTAGAAAAGTTTAGTTTACTTTATTCTCATTGCACCTCATACAACGAAATTAAATACCATCTTCAGTGTACATTATGACTATGAAAATAAACACAAACACACATCCTTCACATTCTATACATTGACTTGAAAACCCCTGATATTGCATTAATATTGCACTATACAGTGGAATTAATAGAGTTACTGCCCTGGGATAGAAGCTGTTTTTCAGCCTTTGTCCTTGTTATTATCCTGTACCGTCTGCCAGATGGTAACAGTTCAAAAAAAGGGTGCCCAGGATGAGATGGATCTTTGACAATGTTTTGCCCTTTCTTAAGTCAGCGGGAGCTATAAAGCTCTTCCAAAGAGAGGAGGGGGCAACCAATGATCAATGACGTTAACCCTCTGGAGTGCTTTCCTATCTGCC